TTTTTTTTTTTAAGATCCCGATTTCAGGGTCTGTTTGTGGTCTTTAGATGTTTAACATCAGACTCCCCACAGTTGCTGCCACACTTAGCTCTTAAATCCTTTAAGCCAGATGGTTGGTTAGTTAACCTGTTGGTTTCCTTAGGAATATGAATAATCCCACAGTAACCATATAAAAATGGTCTTTTAGGGACTCCCCATTCCTGCACACACACTTCTTCCCCACCCTCAGAGAGAAAAAAAAAAAAAACCCAACACTTATGTAATGCATAAACAAATATGCATTCTTCCTCATGTATGTGAGAGTTGCCCATGCCAAACCTTGTCTTTATTTTGTGGTACTTGGTTCTGTGCTTGGAAAAGGTATACATCTTTTGCTCAGTTTGAAATTCTACCACCTCAGTGGTTAAGATATTATTTCATTTTATTTTTAGACCATGTATCTCCAATTGCAGATATATGTTTCTCCTTTTGTTTCATTGTATTTTTTTTTTCAATCTTTAGAATGGCGAAAGATTTTAATCTAAATGGTTAACAGTACCTTGTTCTGTAATTGATGAAATTTGTAGTAGGAAAATAGCTCATTCATTGTAAAGTGGGATAAAAAGTGTATAATCAAAATTTTAATTTAAAAATGTGCATGTGAGTGTATGTGTATGAGAGAGAGAGAGAGAGAGAGAGAGAGAGAGAGAGAGAGAGAGAGAGAGAGAGAGAAAGAGAGAATTTTGTTAGTTTACATATGTTTTGTTATTTTTGGCAAATTCTTTGTGTAGTCATAGTTTTCCAAAATCACGGTGGGTTACTGAGGACACTATAGGTTTAGCCTCAGAACCATCCCTAAGCTTCCATTAATTTTGATGCAACATTATCACCTTAGGTAGAATTCCAATTATGAGCCTGCTGCTGGCAGATTACTTAATAAGTTAGATTCAGAAGTGAATCATGCCAGTATTATTCATTTCTCAAATGCAATGATCTAAAAGAAAAATAGGAGAGGTATTAAATATTGATCTTCAAGACTTAATTCTTTGTGTTTCACTAGGAGCTTCTGATTGTATTACTGCTTCTACCTGTTGTCTTGAAAAGGCAGTCGGCCCTCTTTGAGCATTGTGTTTTCTCATTTCATGTGGTTCTAGTTAGAAGAAGAAATCTTGGAAGAGGAGATAGCATAAATCATTCCACTGATCTTTATTAAGCTCTTCCTGTGTGCCAGTCACCCCATTAGGTGCATGGGGCATATCCATAAAGCAATGATCTTTGTCTTCAAGGAACTTATATTCTGGCCATCATTGAGTGGTTTTTGCATGTCCAGTAGTACTATAAAACTACTTTTTTTGCATAAATCTATTGGATCCTAACAAGAGTTCCCCAGATATGTATATGTATGTATAGGTTTATCAGTGTGCATGTGTGTATATACACGCACCTACGAACATATGAAAATATGCATATAAAACGGTTTTGTACTCCCATTCATATAAATCCAAAATATAAAATTCTGTGAAGGATTTTTTTTTTTGTATTCTTGATACAAACTCAGGTAGCTGAACTGACGTGAAGCTATTTATAGTCATAATGTATCCTGGTACTGTGACTGTTCATACATTTCACTGCAGAAATATTAATGTAGTTGATTACAGGGTGCTGCCCCAGACCTGCTGAGACTGTTACTTACTATATAGTTTATATACCTTGATATGTTTCTAAAGTGTGAAAAGTTCTGAATTCCAAAACACACATAGCCTCATGTATTTTAGATATGGGCTTCTTGACCAGTGTTATCTTTTTTTGTAGATGCAGAAGCTGAGCCTTAGCTGAATTAATAAATCAAATCATGATCACAGAGTTAGCAAATGATCTACCTGGGTTTAAATCCAGTTGGAGACTCTCAAGGCCATAATTTCACCCACCATATCCTATTACATATTCATAATCAGGTACCTGGAGTCTAACCTATAATTTCTACTCAATAGTTACTGAATACAGATTGCAAAGTCCTGAAATTCTTATTTCTGGATGTGCACATTTCTTTAAACAGTTTTAATTCAAGTCATTTCCATATCTTATGGAATTTTAGAAATATGTGCATATAAATATAATAGATCAATACTTCTTCTGTGCATTTCTTCTCTTAGTTATCTCATTATGCAGGTGTATCACTCTGGTCCTGTATTGCATAATGTACATAACTGAACATACTGTGCTCAAGAGAGCATTCCATTTTTATCCGAATAGAAAAAGTAATTAAAGCAAGGTTTGTTTTGGGCTCAGAATCTGATGGCTGATTTCACCTCTGTTCCTTAAATTAAGTCATAGAGATAGAGCAAACGGCCAGGATTTTAGCATTTCTGTGTGACTTAGTAATTCTTGAGCTGTTCATGCTTCTCTGAATGACAGAAATGTTTTTAGTGAACTCTAGGGTTTCAAAATAGTCAAAAAATTTCTGAGTCCTAATTCCAGACATTTTAATAAATTGGCCCTTCTGCCTGCACCCTACCATGGCCTATTCCCAAACCGTTGTTTAAGTAGAATTAAACTATTTTCTGAAAAGCTTTTCAGCAAACATATTTGCCCAAAAAAAAAGAAAATTTCTCCTGAATTAGGACAACTTTGCCTTTGCGGATCTTGGGTTGTAACAAAGCCAAAAATACATTTCAGGTGACTGCTTCAGATTATGTCAGGCTGAATGTGGGGATGATCCGTATCGGGGTGCCCACTGGTGCTTTTCAGTGTTTTATCTCTGTGCACACTCTTCCACATCCGACTGTTTAAACCACTTCACCGCAGAGCTCCCCAGGAACGGGC